TCACCCGAAGCAATTACCGGCGGTTTTAATAGCCAGGCGGAATAATGCGAAGCAAAGAGTCGTTTGTTTTCGTAGCAGGTTTCACGATTCGAAAGAGGGGAGAAAAAAAAAAAAAAAAAAAAAAAAAAAAAAGAAGAAACGATTTTCGTGCCGCCTTGCTACCGTTTCATCGCATCAAGCGATATCGCGAAACACGTCGAAAAATAGAGGCGCGGCCAGAAAGGGGAACAAATTTGAATAACACAATTCCCCGAGTTAAGTTTCGAAAGGCGCGTTAGAACGCCCACAGCTGGATGCTGGTGCAGCAATACCAGTCCCGTTGTTGGTGCTCATCGGTGAAACACGCTCGCTCCCGATTGCACGGGACCCCTGTGTCCCAACGGATAATTTTGTTAAATAATAACTTTCGCCTAGTTTTCACGCGAAACTTTTTACTCGTATCCTTGAACGTCGCTCTGTTGACCATCAACGTCGTTCCTTTGAATTTTTTACCATCTAACCTGTAGAACTTTGCACAAAATAAAATAACGCGATGGTTTATCATATATATGTATTTATATTATTGGATTATATTTATAAAATTCTCGATTATTCGCTTTCTTATTCTATGAATCTACGTTCACTTATTGAAATTATAATCGCGATCGGCTTGAGCTACGATCCGTAGTACCGATTACGCCGCTAGGCGGCTATGAGGGTCATTGCGAGTCTCGTTAGCATTATTCACTTTGTCAGATATATATAATTGGACATGGGAATGTGACCACGTCCGTAACATTTTGATTTTTAATCGTTGTTTCTTTCTAATGTGTCTTAAAAAAGACAAAGTATAGATAGGCTTGTGCAATCTAATAAAAAATTATCCAATTTTTGAACTTGCCTTATTCAAAAAAATAATTTTGGACGAAAAAAGTTTTTATTATCCTTTTCTTTGTGATTTATTTTTGTAAGAATAATCACCTTCTCTTGATTCTATAGTTACATGTTCACCCTGTCATTTGGAGAAAGATTCAGTGGAAAAAGTTGATTCTAGTGCTTATCCATATAATCTGCTCACGTAGTTCTGGTAACATATATATGGATGTGTGTATGGCCTGTTATTACACGAAAGTAAATTGGTTTTTCTTTTAGTAAGTTATCTTTTACGTGATATTTGTTCGTAATCTTTGTAAAGAGATCATATTCAATTCTTTTAAATATATTTTCTTACGACGTCAAAAGAAGCCATATCTTACAGGATTAAATATCTCAATCTGCGTGTATACATTTGAATTCATATATTCATATATATTTCACTTTTCGTGACGAAAAAATTATCGACAATTGTTATTTTCTTTCCGAATTTTCCTTCTAATTTTTATAATAAAGATTTTATCTCACGATCTTGGTTAAATTGCAAATGCGTGAATACTAACTTTAAAAACTCTTTTAACAGATATTACTCGCAATCAGTTCATCAACCTTTCTTCGGGATGTTTTCCAAGAAGAAAATCCTAAAAGAATGAATGGAATCTAATTAAATTATACGAGACCATTAAAAGTACGTAAGAAGTTACTTCAAGCTCAACATTAAAGAAAACGTAGGAAAGAAATTGGCTTTCGTGGAGCGATCGGTTAACAAAAGAAGAGTTTAATCGCCTCCTATTATCGATTCACCGATTTGAAAATTACGGGGATAACAGTATTATATGGAGAGGAAACGTTCTCGCAAAGTCGAATCTTGATCGGTTGCGCGCCGTTGAATTTCCAAACGAATTCCGTGGTTTCCAGACTGGTGCGTTTCCGTTCGGTCGTGGGGAGGGAGGGAGGGGGTGTTGGGCAAACTCGTGAGAATAAATAGAGGTGAAGTTGTTAGGACAATCGAGGCAAGGTATTAGGGGCCGTTTAACCTTCTCCGTCCGGCACTGGCTCGGCTGGCACTAACACGGC